TCGATTCTACATATTCATGTGAACAATTATTTTCTATATTAATGAGATGATTCTCGATATTGAATACGATGAAATTAGAATTATTTTCTATTATGAAATTAAATAAATCGCCATTACGCGTACAGTTAACAGATTCACATTTGAATGCAATAATTCGTTTAAGTTGTGCCAAAAACGATAACATGTGATATATCGTATAATATCAGAAAACTATGAAATATTAATTAAATGTTATAAGAGTTGTTTATTTAATATTATTGATAAAAATTGTTTATTTAAAATATAGATAGTTATTAATTTATGCTAATTCTGGGTCTGAATTTGTGCAACAATATTTTTTTACTCCTTAAACAGCACGTTCAACGAACAGACGTTCCTGCTATCCTCTCTCCTCACTTTATTGCGCCTAGCTGCCTACGCTAGTCCCAGCGCGCTTGACTGTTGCCCGTGGACATTGAGCGCCCGCGAGCCCACTTGCCGAACCCCTGATATAGCATATTGAGCGAATTAATGTATTGCATGTGTTGCTATATATTTGCCATATATTTGCTGACATCGAATTAGGACACGTAACGAATACAACATTATACCTGCTTTTGGATGCAATTAGTTGACGAAATTTTAAGAACAAACGGTCAGCAATAGTAGTATGTTATCAGCAATATATCAACATATCACCAACAAATGTAACTTGTGAACAAAAACCATTGCATCCGAATGTATTTAAGCAGCAATGATTAGAGCTCGAGCGATTTAAGCCACGGTTATGCAAAGTGCAATGTGATGCAAATTCATTTACATCATGTACGATTTGCGAAAAAACTATTGCTGGTGGTTTATCGCAAATCAAAAGATAGAAAATGGTAACTGTCTTTTCGATAATGTGGAAATTTTACATGTATCGAGCAAAAACTTAAAATGTTCTATTATTGATACTATTTCTTTAAATAACATAAATGTTGATTTTGCTCACGGTTATATTAAGGTATTTTAGAATTTATCTCCGTATGTGGAAAATGTCATATTGTACATAGTAGACTATATATGTAAAAGTATTTACTGTATAACAGATTGTTCGCTTTGCAAATTACAATTGCTGGGCATTAATATACTATTGCTCGCAGTTCTTAAGAATAGAGAGCCTCACTTAATACCAGCACCAAATGTTTATTCAATTTGTCTCATAGCTGAGAAAATTATTCGGCAAAATTCGCATTGTATGAATACTATAAAATTAAACAAATTTTATTAAATGATATTTTTATAATGATTTTTATTAAATGATATTTTTATAATGATTTTTATTAAATGATATTTTTTATAATGATTTTTTTAGACAAATAGGAATTCCTTTCGATAACGACAATATGCGTAATCATATTATGATATAGGATAATCACCGAACACAACTATGTAAATCTATTATAATGATATATTTAAATATTCGATTATTTTCAGAAGCAAAACAAATGTCACAAAGAACGAATATTTACGAAGTAAATACACTAAGCTAATTTTGTATAAAAATCAGTAATTTGTATATTTAAACATTGTCATCTTTGTAATAAAATAAAACAAAAAAAAAGAAATTGAATTATTATTTTGAATTTTATTATTATTTATTATTATTTTATTTTATTATTATTAGTAAGTAAAAACGATTATAGACACTTTCCATATTCATTTTTCTTATTAATTATTACTAATTATTTAGCCTTAGTTCTTTTAATAAAAAAAAGATGTGTTTATTTTGTCATCACGCTTGTGCATTAACGATTATTGAACATTGCTCCCACTCTTTCCAATAGCCATCTTCTATCCTTCAGTATTGGGTTTACTGTCGCTTATAGGAAAACTGCTCCACTAGTCATATAGTATTATATATATAGCGAAAAAGCTATTGCTAGCGGATTATCACAAATTTATCGTTACGCAGAATTTAAAATACATAAGAACAATTGCAAAAAGTTTGATGAAATAACAAGCAAATCGAATGAAAACTATAACATAGAAATTACCGAACCGTTTTCGTCCTTTGAAGAGCGGAAAAAATCTACGGAGATTCGATTTGTTGCTTTAATCACTAAAAAAAATATTTCACATGAAAATGCAAAAATAATACTCGATATTTTTAAAGATGTAGAGAAAGATCCTAACATTTTAAAAAGTATGATTATGAGTCGACAAAAATGTACGAATATATAATTATGGACTTTTTATGTCCAGTTGAGACCCTAACAGCACATGATATCATACGAATATTCTGTATTTATACTGAATATATTGTGATCATATTGAATATACTAAGATTATTCGTATAACATCTGTGTAGAATATCATTTGTCATTTCTTTTCAGGATATACACAGAAAATAGCAAATAAATTTTGCTATATATATTAAATTACTGAGATAATATTTGAATTTACTCAAAATGAATTTACTCAAAATATCCCTACTTTATCCTTCGTATATTCGCAGTTAATCTCGCATATATTTCTTCGTATGTAATTTTAGTCTCGAATTTTGATACTTTTGAAGAGATTGCCTGCATTTCAGTAGAAAAAGAAGTTCTGCTATTGTTGTAATATTCTTTATTATGGTTTATGCACTTAAAATTGTAGGGCTCTAAGAGTAAAAATCAATCATATTAAAGAATTTTACGCCCTAACAGCACATTATATACGAATATTCTGTATTTATACTAAACGTACTGTGATCATACCGAATATACTAAGATTATTCGTATAAAATCTGTGTAGAATATCATTTGTTGTATATTTTCAGGATATATTCAGACTATAGCAAATAAACTTTGCTCTATATATTGAATTATTGAAATAATACTGAATTTACTCAAAATATCTCAGATATACTCCAGATATAATGTAAATATATTGAAGACATCTTGGAATATACTGGTGAAGATATCTCAAGTAGCAAGATGATATCATTATGACGATGATTTAAGGTCATTTTTCGTCATTCGACGTACTAAAAAACAACGTAAAAAAAACGTAACATTTGTCACGAAATATTATCGTCATAAATATATTGTCATTTAATCGTCATTTTTAAATCATTCTTAATGAATGAAATAACATTATTAATTACTATCTTTCTTAATTAACTATAATATATAAATAAGAAAAATATTTCCTATATTTAATACAATTATTGACAAATTCATAAACATACAACAATTTATAAATAATTTTTATAAAAATAATTCTCGTTAAACATCCCAGATAGCAAAATGTTTAAAATTTGCTATCATATAGTCGAAAGTCGTTGCAACAACTATAATTTAAACAAATTCGGGATAAGGTGAAACAGCATTATGTCTGTCGTATTGAACTCAATGGAATAATAATTTTAATAATAACAAATCAATGGCAATATGTGTCGACTAGTCCGGCGAGCCGGCTTATATACCGCTCCGGCTGCCCCTACCTTTTCGATTTTCTTCGATGGGAGGAAATCCCTATGGTATGGGGATTACACGAGTACTGACGCTCAAAGAGCATCATGATGAAAACATGATGGCAACAAAACATATATAATGGCTCAAGATTAATCATTTGTTGATGACATGTTGTTGATATATTGCTGATAACATAACATATTACTATTGCTGGCCGTTTGCTCTGTAACGGCACGCATGCCGTCACTAATTATAGGACCGACTACAAGTCCGGCGCTCTTTGAGCGCCACTACCCGTGTAATCCCCGTGGGAAATTCCCCCCACCGAGGAAAATCGAAAAGGTAGGGCCAGCGGTATATAAGCCGGCTCGTCGGACGAGTCGGCACCAGTTCCCGTCTCGAGCGAGACCACTCAGGGTGTTCCCGAGCCTCGATCGAGATTTCTTTGCCTTCCTGACTTCCTGCCTAGACCACGGAGAAGGGTGTTACCTCTCCGAAGCCAGGATGTTACCGATGTTGGTCTTCCTGACTTTCTGTCTAGACCACAAAGAAGGATGTTACCTCTTCGAAGCCAAGGTGTCACCAGCGTTGATCTTCCCGATTTCCTGACACTACCGCGGAGAAGGGTGCTATCTCTCCGAAGCCAGGGACTCCCGGTAGCGTGCTTGCGCACGCGCGCGCGACTGCCCTCACTTGGACTTGTACATAATTAACTTGTAAGTCTCCCGCGTTTTCTCTCTTGCGCCGTGTACATAGCTTGTAAGTCTATCGCTATCGCTACTTCGCTTTTGCAATCTCTGTAGATACCGTTACTCCGCTTTGCAAGCTTTGTATTTCCGCCTATCGTTGTAAATATTATCGTGCGGAATATTACACTGCGCCTGAATACACACTCGCATACACACACACACACACACACACACACACACACGCGCGCGCGCGCGCGCGCGCGCGCGCTATCCTCTGTATATATGATTAGTCTCTCAATAAATTATATTTTAATTAATTGCTATGTTGTTAGTAAGTTCGGATCTCCCCTTTCTCTCGAATCTTGACACCGACGAGTTAATCCGTGACATCGGGAAAGGTGCACCGTTACAGCTCTTAAAATTTCGTCAACTGATTACATCCATAAGCAGGTATATTGTTGTATTCGTTACGTGTCCTATTTCGATGTCAGCAAATATATGGTAAATATATAGCAACACATGCAATGCATTAGTTCACTCAATATGCTATATCATACTTAGCTATCTGGGATAATATAGGTTCACAGCTTTATATATGTAATTAAATTATCTATAAGAATTACATATGCAATCGAGATTTTAAAATTGGGACTATGTATACAACAATAAGTAATATTCATTAACCGGATTTATCATATTTTATATAAAAATTTTGTATTTACTTATATTATCATTTCAGTAGCAGGTTTCATTCCAATACAGAGGTTAAGCGACATCGAGCAGGATCTCCAAGTGGATGACCGGTTTTAGAAACATGCGGTGATAGGAGATAAAAGATGTTTCATCAATTTCTCTCATTTTTTTTTCATTTTTTAATTTTTTCCACTTATTTTCCGTAAGGGGTGTCACGTATATTATATATTTTCAGTACTAGCAGTCAATATCGAAACGCAATCATAATTTTGTCGACATCTTGCTACGTGGGATATATTGAGGATATACTAGACAAGCTAATTGCATACTGTAGATATATTCAGTATATCTCCATAAATTATCAGCGAAAACGGGTATGGTAATACGTCTACGGGATAAGGTAACGTGGACATAGTAAATTATTAGTATATACTCGATATATCATGTATGTATTTCGAATATTATGCGAAATACTTTTGCGATATCTTATAAACATCGATCTATATGGCTGTCTGAGGATGGATCATGTGATAGAAAATATTCAAAATATAAAATTTTCTATTTTTATAGATGAATCAACAAATATTTCTAGTGAAAAATGGATGACATTTCACGTTTGATACGTTCATATTAAAACATTAGAAGTTCATTCGCAACTAGGAAAATTAATTGATATCGATGCAACAGATTGCAGCGCGGAAAAATTGTTTAATGCATTTAAATATGAAATGTGAAAATTACAAATACCTTTTTCAAATATTGTTGCCTTGTCATGCGACAATGCGTCCGTTATGGTCGGAAAACATTTATCTTTCAAGAAAAAATTGGAAGAGAGATGTGCAATAATGTATTGACATTATCATGTCCATGCCATTCCGTTTCATTAGCATGCGTTAAGATACCTCAAGCTTGTGAGGAATTCTTGAAAAGAATTACAAACTATATAACTTGTAGTCCCAAGCGATGGTCTATTTTCACCGAATTAAGTTGAAAGAATGTTTTGAAGAAAGGACTCACAAAATTGTAAAGTTATGTAATACACGATGACTTTTTCACCACGCGTGTATCGACAGACTTCTTCAATCTTGGAACACAATACAACATTTTTTGAATGAAATGATCGTGAACGAGAAAGGTACATCTGCAGAAAATTTGTTGCGTCAAATGCAAATGTAAATACAAAAGCATATTTGCTATTTTTAAAATATATATTACATTTTTTAAATGTATTTAATGCATTTTTCCAAGCTGAAGAAACGAGGATACATCTATTACAACCAAAATCAATTGATTTTTTAAAAGAAATTTGTACAAATTTTATAAAACTAGAAATTCTGAAACATTTGCCAAATATAACATTTTATAAGGCAGAAAATCATAAATCTTTAAATGATATTTTTTAGGATCGGAATGCGAAGAATATCTTCATCAATTGATAGAAGATTGACACGCAAACATACGAGGATAGTCTGAAAAGTTTTGAGCCTTAACATGAAGATGATGTTACTCAAAACCTTCAAGTACTACAATAGTATATGCTTTGAAAGATTTTTGTAAAAATTTCAGCCATTTTGGACGCTCAGTTGTTGTTTGACAGTCGTTTGTGTCAGTCGATGTCAGTGTTTTTGTAAAAATGGAAAAAATTGAATATCGTGCCGTGATTAAATTCTTACATTTGAAAGGCAATACACCTACGCAAATTAAAATCGAGTTGGACGCTGTTTACGGGGATTCTGCCCCATCATTTGCCACCGTAAAAAGATGGGCAGCTGAATTTAAACGTGGTCGTACTAGCTTGGCTGATGATGATCGTTTGGGACGGTCAAAAACTACGACCACCGCTGATAACATCGAAAATGTTCACCAAATGGTACTGGACGACCGTCGAATCAAAGTTAAAAAGATAGCAGAGGCTACGGGCATATCGAAAGAACGCGTTTGTCATATATTGACTGAAGAATTGGATATGCGCAAGCTATCCGCGCGTTGGGTGCCGCGCTTGCTCATTTTGGACCAAAAACGAATTCGAATGAACATTTCTAAAGCTCTGTTGGAGCGATTCAAGCGAAACGAGTTAGATTTTTTGCGTCGATTCATAACTGTAGATGAAACTTGGATCCACCACTACACTCCAGAGACAAAAGAACAGTCAAAACAGTGGACTGTAAAGGGTGAACCTGCTCCGAAAAGGCGGTTCCATCAACTGGAAAGATAATGGCGACTGTTTTTTGGGATAGTCATGGAATTGTGTGTATCGACTATCTTGAAAAAGGTAAAATAATAATGGGAGTGTATTACGCATCATTACTTGATAAGCTGAAGGCAGAAATTGCAAAAAACGGCTGCATTTGAAGAAGAAGAAAGTGCTGTTCCATTAAGACAACGCATCTGCTCACACTTCGGCAGTCGCCATGACCAAAATTCACGAACTGCACTTCGAATTGATTGACTCACCGTATTCACCAGATCTGGCCCCCAGCGATTTTTTCCTGTTTCCTAAGCTTAAAGTTTCGCTTGGAGGACAGAGGACAGAGATTTGACCTCAAACGAGGAGGTCATCGCATACGTAAACGCCTATTTTGCGAAGCAAGACGCCAACTACTATTTGGAGGGGTTAAAGAGGTTAGAGTATCGATGAGAAAAGTGTATCGACTTAAAAGGAGATTATGTTGAAAAACAAAACTATATTTGACCGAAAAAATACTTGTTTCTATGTTAGGCTCAAAACTTTTCACTACCCTCGTATACATATTTCTTTAGATCACGTGCAAAGGAATGCTTTGTGTTCGTCGGTCCTTTAATCGCTATTAAGTAGTTCGATCAGAATTTATCGTATGACGTTGTAAAGCCTGACGTTCACAATTAATCGTCATTATTGGAGATGAAGGATCGGTCTCTTCTATCGTCCACGATCGCGAAATCAATTTTAATTGTGCTTGCGCTGATACCGTTCGCTCGCCAATTTCGCCTTAGTGTTCACTCGTGTCTCACATGCGATTGGCGAGCATGCTTGTTGACGTCACATAGTTCAATGAAATAATTGCAGATCAATGTTCTCTCTATTACGTTTCTCTCTATTATGTTATTCTTTATTATTTTGTCTCTCCCCGAATCGACTGATCGTGTTTGCAGACGGTGATAAAAATTTTTCAGGATTTAAATTTTGCGTGTCTCAGCAAATGCGCAAAGCTCCTCGTGATCTTAAAGACTAGCCGCGCAGTAAATTGCGCATGTATTGGTTTCTTAGCGATGTTTAAAATTGCAAAAATTGTGATTTACAGTTTTTTTTATATTACAAGAAAATTTTCTGATGTTCGTACAAAGTTTTGAGTATACACGATGCATATATACGACTACGTAACGTAATTTATAGTAACGTAATTTATAGTACAACGCGAAGAGTTACACTTGGCAATGTTGTATATTTTACAATATTGTCCATTTTTTCAGACACGCAAAGCGAACTTCACCGGATCAATAAGATAAAAACGTTACTCGATTACTTTGTTCACGTTCCTGTATGCTGCTATTAGCATAAAATTGCATTGAAGAGATGCATTGAAATGCGCTTTATGTAAAACACCAATCATGTAATTGTCTCATATTGTTACAAATTCGCGAGTAAGTTTAAAGAACGGAGCATTTTCAACGTCATGATAAATGAACAGGCTACACATGTGACAGCAGAATCTTCCACTTTCGGACGATGCACTCATTCGCGAATCTCGTTGACCAGAATTCGGATCGTACGTGCCGACAAGCACGGATCTACAATTTGTCATAAATAAATATTCGCAAAGAAATATTTTCGGGAATGCCGATTGCGATATGGTCATTGTAACAAACTGTATATATGCAAAGAAATCCTTATATAAATTATAATTAATTAATTTATATAAATTATGATTAATGATAAATAATTTAAATGAAGGACAATATTTAAATAAAAATTAAATAAATAATATTTAAATGAAAATTTATAAATGACTTTTTTATTTTATCGAATAAAATTTTAAAAACGTTTTTTTTTTTCTAAAAACCCTTCTCGCTCTTTTTCATTTTTTCTTTTTTTGATGACTTTTGATACGTTAAACTCTTTGATAAGTTTGATATAATTTTTGCATATTTTAAAATTGAATATAAATGAGAGTATATTTTGTGATGCAACATGTAATAATTTATGTTCTTTTTTTATGGACTGATGAACTGCCTTATCGACGTTTTCTTTATTAGCAGTTTCTTATCCATCATGTGTAAATCATTTTATCAGATCATATTAAGGCATGGCAGTACGGCTTCTTTCATGAATGAAAATTTGCATTCCGCAAAGAGGCAAATGATTGATCTGTATGATCATTTGATCTATCAAATCAACGAATCTAAGCTCAATGCAATGCAGAAGTATACTTTTACACATATACACTCAAATACATGATTTATAAGCGATACTGCAATAAACAATTGAAGATAATTAGAGCAAGATGCTTGGCTTAATAAAGATAACAAGATTAGAAGTAATAAGAATAAGAAGAAAAATATA